TATTACCACTTACGTGTTTAAGTTCATTCTTAAATCTCTCACTTCACTCGATATAATGAGTTATCTTGACATTTGTCGGTGTTATTGTTGAGTATGAGGCTCAATGACAGCTGTGACTCCTTTAGCCTATGCTAAATTAGCTTAGCATGCTGTCAACTCAACCCTTTTTGACTAATTTATAGCCTTTCGTTTTCTTTAATATGTGTTACAAAGGTCATATGATTATGTTGATGATCTCCCGGTCACTATTACAGCTCAACTGATTATAAATGTGAACATGCTAGCGAACCAGCCTCAGAGATTGTGCCATTTGTTTTTAAAATGAATGATAGTTGGCTTTCATTACTTTACCGATGTATGTGCTTTGTTTATGTCAAGTTTTGACATAAGGTTAATTCCAGTCAAATCTTCTCAAGAGACGACATGAGCTGTTCAGAAAGAGTGCAAAATAATTAATAACTGAGAAAAGAGCAGAGAAAAGCATGTGAGAATTTTTAGTTTAAAAAATGTTTTACTGAATAATATTAGTAGTTTGAATAATATTATAAAGTGTCTATCACTGTTTTGATTAAAATTGTCACATTTTTGAGGATTTTGTTGTTTTACACATGTTGGGAATTGGGAAAGAATAGTGCAATTTCTAGGTTTAATTCAACTTTAATCTAAAACGCTTGTCAGTAATGTGGATGAGCATCTGAGCTCAGTTCTGATCAGTGTGTGTGTTAACAGGTGTCCCGCTGAAGCTGTGATGGTGCTGTCGTGTCTCTTCCGGCTCCATGGCCTGTTCGTCGCCTCTCATCCGTGGGAGGTCATCTTGGGAACGGTTGCTGTGACCATGTGTCTGATGTCCATGAATGCTTTCGCTACCAATGACCAGATCTGTGGCTGGAACCATCAGTGTCCCAAAGTACAGGAGGTACACCGATCACATTTCAGATTATAAAATCATTAAAAGGTTTTGTAGGACTCTCTTTATATATTTACACGCTTGGTTCCTGTTTGGTAACTGTTTTATTACCTGCTGAAGTCTAGCTCAGGTTGCAATGTTTGCTGTAAACCGTATACGTAGTTGTGAAGTATGATCTTTACTGAAACATAACATTTTTATACATTATAGCATTTGTATATTGCATATATTTTATATTACATAAAAACAAATATTTTTTTTGCACATTTTTAGAAAATTCTAAGCGGCGACATGAACATTTTAACCATTACGAGATGTGTAGCCATCATTTACATCTACTTCCAGTTCAAAAACCTCCGTCAGCTCGGCTCCAAATACATACTGGGTGAGTTTCTTTCTCTGAACGTACTTACTTTTGTAATGTGGCATATTTCTGAGTGAAACGGCATATTTAAAGAGGAAAAAATGTTTAAGACAATTGACATTTTAGAACTTGATTAAATGGTGAAATGTGTTTCTATTTGACAAATGGTTGAAAAATACAGTACTTGATGAAATATTATGAAGACCAACATGTTTT